TACCCGATCCGACGACCTGGAAACCCAAAGTCACTCTCAGAGCTGGCCGGACGGCGGAGAGCCAAAATGGAGAGCCCCCCAAAGCCCACGGGTCTGCCTTTTGTATCCACCTGGCTGCTTAACCCCACCCTCAGGTCCCAGTCACCTTCCCTTTGGTGGTGATGGGATTTGGAGTTCCCAGTGTCTTTGGCTTTGACCTGGGGTGGGGGTGGAGTCCACAAAGCCTGTATGGAATTTGCTTTGGGACATCCTTTTCCCCCTAACAATTTTTTCCCTGTGATTTTGATATATTTGCTATCTTGTTTTAGCCAATGCTCCAAATTTTTTTTTCTTTTGGCTTGGATAATGGACTATTTTTAAGTAATGAAACTGTCATACTGGACATTCATGGACAATGCTGCTGACTAATTGTTACTTCTCTTACACACATTGTAACCCTGAAAAAAGACTGTCTCCTAATATTACACCATGAGATCTGTGCCACCATAGATATGGTGGAATAAAAATTAAAAGGGGGGATTGTACAGGGTGGTCCCCAGGAAAGGGGGAGGTTCCCTGCCCCACCCAAGGGAGGGTGGAGCTGAGCAGGAAGAGGAGAAGCTGCACAAGAGACTGAGGAAGGAAGAAGCAGGATGGAGCTCTAGGAAGAGACCTGGAGGAGGCACATGGAGCCTAGAGACACGTGAAGAAACTGCGCTTGTCTTTTGGTCGTGGACTGGGTGACACAGATGTGGGTGAGACCCATGGGGAGGTGACCATGGCAGCTTTTATCTTGATGTTGATTTTGCTCTTTTCCTTCCGGGCTTGTCTGGTTGTTTCTGACCCTTTTCTGTGGGTCCCCACTGGAAGATGCTTTAGACTTGTGGCAGGCCTTGGGGCCTTGCTCTGGGCCAATCCCATTTGGATGGACTTTTACCCACGAGGGGATGGGTAACTTTGGGTGCTTGATTTAGAAACTAGATTCTTTGCCTTACCTGTATTGTTTCCTAGTTTTATTAAAGTTCCTTTTCATTAAAGTCTCCTATGTTTTGTGTTGATGCGGCGGATGGCAGAACCCATTTAGAATAGGCAGGTTTGCGGGGTTTTGGGCTGCCCTCTCCCTGTCCTATAACACAAGTACTGCCCTCCTTCATTCTAGTCTGTTTAGTGTTCTAGCATATCTTGACGTGCTCGTCAGAAGTGAAGAAGGGCAGGGATTTCTGAAAGAGAACTGGGGTCCTAGATGCAGCTCCAAGCATCAGCGGCTGATTGCAGCAAGTGAGGAAGGAGGAAGTCTAGGAGCAGCCATGGCCAGAGTTCAGACAAACTGCTGCCCTCCTGGCCCAACAGACCCTTTCACAACAGACGGTGCTGCCACTGCAGAAAACTGTGTCTGCTCCTTGCTTTTTCCTTCCAAATGTTGCTCTTATCTTTTTCTTTTTTTCCATTTCTACTTCTCACTTGCCTGGAACAGGTCTTCGGCCTGTTGTCTGTCAGCCAATTTACAGGTGAGTATGTGGCATCTTCTCCAGGCCTGCCAGAGCTGACGGCAGGGAGGAATCTGGCAAGAGAGAGAAGCCTGTAAGCCCAGGGAAGGGCCCACAGGGCCCTCGTCACCTGGCCTCTTACTCATTCATTTAATATACACTAGATGCTTCTTATATTGAAACAATATTTATAACAACAGATATTTGTTAACAATCTAGCTGCCAACCTACGGGGACATTATCAAACTGTGGGCAGTTCCCACAGTGAAACACCATGAGTTAGAAAAAGGAAGTACTCTGTAAGCACTAAAATGGAAAGATCTGCAGGGCAGATTGTTATGTAAAAAGAGCTAAGTTGGAAACAGTGGTTAATAGGTTGCCCTTCATATCAGAAAGAGGAAACAATATTTATATTTGTATTAGTTTGTTTTGCATAAAGAAATACAAGAAACTAATAAAAGCATTGCAGAAAAAAGGGGGAGGGGGAAGATAGAGGCAAATAAAGATGGGCCTGAGATGTTCCTACATATCCCTTTCACATTTTTTGTTACTTTTGTATACCCATTCAGAGTAAAATCTTATTTTTTAAAAAGGTTTATTTATTTATTTTTAAAGATTTATTTATTTATTTACACAAGAACAGGGGTACAGACCAGACGTACAGGAGGGTGAGAGGATTCACCAGAGACCGAGTGGGGAGCAGAACAGGTAGAATGACGAAATACACTGCTGAGGGGAGCAGCAGGTGAGACAAGAAAGGTCTGCCGCGCCATGTGGGACCCTCACCGGCCAGCCGGGATCGAACCGGCACTGCCGAGGCTGCGTACGGCTTCATAGCATTGTGCTCAACCACCTGCGCCACCAGGGGAGGCCCAAAAGATTTATTTATTTATGCATACAGGAACTGGGGTACAGGCCAGAGGTGTGGGGGGGTGAGAGGACTCACCAGAGACAGAGTGGGAAGCGGAACAGGTAGATTGAATGAAACACACTGCTGAGGGGAGCAGCAGGCGAGTCAGGAAAGGTCTGTTGTACCATGTGGGTTGCTCCCTGGCCCGGGATCTAACTCATACTGCAGAGGCTGTAGATTGCTTCACAGTGCTGTGCTTAACCCCTTGCACCACCAGGGAGGCCCCAGAATCAAATTTTAAATACAATAAAAATTTGAACTTGTACTATCTAGTCTAAACTTGTGTAAAGTATAGGAAGGCCCTAAGAAAAGAGCAGGTTTTTCTATCTGGGAGAAGCAACTTAGCGGGAGCAAAGCCTGTGAGGTTAGTTCTAGGGGTGACAAGGTTGAAGCGAGGGTCAAATTACAGTGGGAAGGAAAGGAACCAAAATATGAACAGTAGTGGGACCATGGGTGTTTTTTGGTTTCATCTACACTTGCTTTTTTTTTTTTAAATTTATTTATTTATGCAAACAAGAGCTGGGGTACAGGCCAGAGGTGCTGGGGGTGAAATGATTCATCAGAGACAGAGTGGGGAACAGAACAGGCAGACTGACGAAATACACTGCTGAGGGGAGCAGCGGGTGAGTCAGGAGAGGTCTGCTGCGCCATGTGGGTTGCTCCCTGACCAACCGGGGATCGAACTCATGCTGCAGAAGTGCTCCCTTGGGCCACCAGGGAGGCCCCTACGCTTGCTTTTTATTGAGGTGATAGTGGTTTACAACATGGCATATGCTTGAGGAGGGGGATTCATTCTTCTTCAGAGGCAGGTTACACTACCACACCCACCACCGAAACACCCACAATTCTTCACCACAGTGCATGGGGCCTCCTCCCACCTCATCCATACTTTTTGAAGCTTTCAAATTTACGACCACAGACATGTTGACAATGCGAAATTACTGAAGTGTTACTCTCGACAGGGACAGGAGGTGACAGCAGAGGACACGAAGCCGGGGTGCGGGCGGCATCCCTGTGGTACCGCGAGTGGCCGCCAGGGGTCAGCAGCGGCCCGCAGCCCGCGCGGCGCCATCCACAGGTGATCCCGAGGAGGCCCCGCCGGGGACGGGCCTTCCACCAGCCTCATCTCACACTAACCGCCATTTGCTTTCCACATGCTTCTGTCTCGGGCCACTTCCCACTAAATGGCAGACAGTGGGGTCTTGGAGGCCTGCCGCTGTTTGCAAGCTGGGGGTGCTGTGCGATGGGGTGAGGGGCCGGAGGAAATTCCTGGGACGGGCCCTCTGGCTGCCCAGGGACCCTGGACAAAGGCAGGCTCCTGGGCTGAGATCCTGGACTCCAAGAATCCACTGGGAAGGGTGGGGAGGAGGCGAGGCGAGAGACAGGAAACTGAGGCCATTTCTGGGACAGGAACCTGACCAAAGGAGAGCCAGAGGTCAGAGGGGCGTCAGCCCATACCTGGAGGGAGATGCGGCTCCCAGGAGGGCCAAGGCTTTCTGGCTCATCAAAGGGGAAGGTGGAGGTGATTATTCCAGGGTAGTTGAGGCCCAGGAGGCCCAGACCACCATCTGAGCCCCACAACGGACCTGGGCCCACCTGAGATTCTGTGGAACCTGTCACTGGGATAGGAGGCCCCGGAGAGGCGCTTCACACAAGGAGAGAAACCCTCGGTGATGTAGGAAGAGCACTGAGCACCGCCGCCACCTGCTGTGTGACCCTGAAGAGTCAGTTACCCTCTCTGGGCCTTCTTTAGTCCTTTGTAACACAAAGAGGTTAGATAAGATGAACGTCAGGCCCCTCCCACCTCTGACATTCTTTGAATCTCAATAGTCTGTCCCTGCTGTCCTTCCCCACCCCAGTGGGATGGGGGTGTAGACATAGCCAATAGTATATAGAAGTGACTCTATGTGGCTTTTAGGTTTAATCACAACAGCGTTCTGCTTTCTCGCCTGGAACACTTATATTGGAGCCTGGGGCAGCCTGCCATGAGGAAGTTCCCAGGAGCCTGGGTGGAACACCCCCCCACACCCCTGCTGAGTCCTGAGATGCAGTAGCTGCTCCAGCCCCACCGCCCACCCGCCAGGGCTGACTGCAACCTCAAGAGACTCAGATTAGAACTGCCCCCAGGCTCTCACCAAATTCCTGATCCCCAGAAACTGTGAGAGATCATACATTTGTTCTTCTAGATTGATTTATTTATGCATACAAGAGCTGGGCTACAGGCCAGAGGTGTGTGTGGGGGGGTGAGAGGATTCACCAGAGACAGAGTGGGGAGCAGAACAGGTAGATCTACTGAAATGCACTGCTGAGGGGAGCAGGGGGTGAGACAGGAGAGGTCTGCTGTGCCATGTGGGTCGCTCCCTGGCTGGGGATTGGACTCATGCTGCAGAGGCTATGGAGAGCTTCACAGTGCCATGCTTAACCCCTTGTGCCACCAGTGAGGCCCAAGATCATACATTTTTATTGCTTTTTAAGCTACTGCATTTTGGGGTAATCTGTTCCCCAGCAATACATAACTAGAACTGTTAACAGGGACCAAGGAGGCCGTTGAACCCCCAAACTAGCAAGCTCTAAAGGGTTCCAGCCACCTGAGTGCACAAAGACAAAGCAGACTATTAGTGTGAAAGAACTTTAATAGAATTAACATGCATAGAGAGGGGAGAGAAGACAGGATATCAGTGTCCCAATAAAAAAACCCAAATTACCCCTCCCCTGTGGCTAAGCGTCCAGTCAAACAGAGTCAGCCTGAAGTGAGGCCACTGAAACCTGCAAAGCTTGCCACAACTCTAAGGCACGTTCTGGCAGGGAACCACAGCAAAGGGGTTCTGAAGCAGGTCCCAGAAAGCTGGGACATAAGGAGCAAAATCAAAGTACCAGTCAAGGAAGTGGCTGCCAATGTCAGCCTCTCCTTGTGTCTTTTTTTTTTTAAGCTTTATTTATTTATTTATGCATAGAAGAACTGGGGAGGTAATGTCTTATCAGCGCTAATCTCCTGATGAGAGAATTCATGGACAGAGTGGGGAGCAGAACAGGCAGATCTACTGAAATCCACCGCTGAGGGAAGCAGCGGGCGAGTCAGGAGAGGTCTGCTGCGCCATGTGGTCACCTCCCTGGCCAGGGATCCAAATCAGGCTGCAGTGGTCATAGCGCGATAGCACTGAGATTTGACCCCTGTGCCACCAGGAAGGCCCCCCAAGTGTCTCTTTCAAGTGCCTCTCTGTGTCTCTCTTCCGCATGTCTCCTTCCATGTCTCCTTCCCAGCAGTACCAGGGTGCAAGTTGGGCCACAGAAGCAGGAACCTTCCTCTCTTTTCTCCTTCTTCTTCCCCAGAGCCCACCTGCCTTCCATGTCATGTAGCTTCACCAGGCCGCTCAGCTCTGCCCATCATTCAGTGGGGGTGGGGAACATGGTCCCCCCGCCTCCTTGCATGGAGATGTCTGTAACAGAACAACAGCCATCTTTGCGACAGCAGATTCAAACAACAGTCTTCCATGGATGCAAAAACTAAAGTTTCGATGAGGAGTAAAATTTTTACATAGAATTAAAGTATCCCCTACTAAATATTTATTAATCAGAAAGGGGAAAACTTTAAAATGGAGAATCCTGGCAGACATCCCCCTAGCAAAATGATCAAAGTTGACATAGGCATTGGTATGCTGTGGGGAGGGGACACAGATTTGGAACATTTGCCATTCCTATGGTTTAAGAACCCCCAGCAGCCAGGTTCAGACTACCCATGGCTTAAGCAACAGCTGAAATGTTGCCTGTTGACTGTTGCCAGTGGCACAGACCACCTCCAGCTGCTCTCATCCATGTGCCCCTGGTGTGATCACATCTGAGGTGTCCTCCCAAAAATGTATGCCCAGCACCTCTTCATAAGGGAACTACAAAGTGGAAATGAGGGGCAGCCTACAAAATAACTGGCCTGTACTTTTCACAATGTCAAGGTCACAAAAGACAAAAGAAGACTTGGGAACTGTTTGGGACTGAAAGAGACAAGAGAGATCTAAGCAAATGGAATCTGAGATCCTCCTGGGTTCAGAAGGGTCAGGGCGAGGGGGCGTGTCTTATCAGCGCTGATCTCCTGATGTGGACAGTTGGGCAGTGGGTACAGAGAAGGCACTGTCTTTAGGACATGCACACTGGAGTGTGTAGGAGTGACAGGGCAGGCCTCCAACTTAGTCTCAGTTGGTTAGAAAAAAAGTAGGCTAGTAGAGACATTGCAAAAGATATAAATAGAGAACAATACATCAAATGTACAATGTTAATAATTGGGGAGCCTGGAGTGTTTTGTATTCTTGCAACTTTTCTAAAGGTTTCAATTTATTTCAAAATAATAAGATAAGTGTTGCATGGCTTTCCCTGAGGTTGGATTGTCTGCACCTCCAACAATATTCCCTCGGTTGGAATTTCCAGAAGTCTCCCTGCCCTTCCCTGGAAGCTATACACAGGTACACAAAGGCTCTGACCCCAGGAAGAGGGTGTGGGGTGAGGGCTCCCAACTCAGGCAGAAGGTGGAGACTAGATGAGCAGTGAGTCTGGTGGCTCAGGGACGCTCAGTGTTCCAGGGCTTTAAGTTTTTCTAGCCCAGAAAATTCATCTGACCAAGAAGGAAAAGATTTGCCCTCATTCTTTAGAGGGCAAATCTTTACTTTTAAGTAAATAAATACACGCATACATTTAATGTAATTTGGATTACCAAATGACAAAAGGATGTTCTGTTAACAGACTTTGCTGCAGATTTCAATAGTCAACCCTGGTGCAACGTGATTTCATTTACAGAAATTCAATCAACACACACATTTCTCCACGAGATGTATATGCCAGTCACCCTGTGGGAAGTCCCACAAGAGGAAGGCGTGAACTCTGTTTTATATCTTCTACCCCTGGCAGAAATATGACTCAGGTCCGAGGGGGTTACAACCTGTGTCCCAGGTCTTCCAAACTCGAGTATAGTTTTGCTGCTTTCCTCATTCTCTGCTCGGACTGAGCCTGTTGAACCAGGCGTGAAGGCGAGACTACAGCTGGTTTATTTTGCCAAATCAGAAACCACACTGAATCCAGGCCAGAGACCTTACACTCCCGGGAGACTCCTGTAGCCATGGCAACTGGCTCCAGCAGCCCATCCGGCTAAGTTCCATTTTCATCATCTACTGAATGTAACTCAGCTGAGTTGGGACTCTAGCGGCATCCACTGGGGTGGGTAAAGGCAATGAATCCCAGGCCCTCAGAATTGGGCAGGATCTTAGAGGGTCATCTTGTTACACCTGGTTACCAGCCTATGGCTGAGCATCCCTAGTGGGTGAGGTTTTAACCAGCACCATGAACCAAACACTGATAAAATACAAATGGAGAGAGATGATGCGCTGTTGCCTAAGGACTCAGACACAGTGAGGGACAGTGGGTGAGAAGACACTTGCATTCACCTGCAGCCCCACAGGAATTACTTGATTCTCCTTCACACCCATTAGTCAAGTGAAGGCAAGGCTGGTTTCGAGCCTGCCTTCTCCCGAAGGCCAGGGTAAGAGGCAGAATCTAATCACACATGGTCTCTAGCTGAGGGCGAAACGTCTACATTCCTCCTGCCTCAGCAAACAGTTCCAAAGATGCAGGTTATGTGAAATCATCTTCTAGTGAATTCTAAGTAGGTTTGAGGCTTGGAGTTAAGCTCTGGGTTTGTGGTGTACCTGAAACAATTATTAGTGCTGCCCACATGGAGCTTACAGTCTGGCGGGGAGACTGTAAACAAACATAAATACATAATTGCATATGATAATAAGCATCATGAAGGAAAAGAGCAAGGTGACATAACAGGTTTCTAAGTCAGTAAGAAAAATAAAAAACGAAAACTGCAACATGAAGGGTGAACAGAAGCTGGTTAAACAACAGTGGAAAGAAAAAACATTCCAGGAAACAAAAAGAACATTCCAGAAAGAAAGAATGAGAAAAGGCCCTGATGCAGGATAGGGCTAGGGGTATCTAAGGACAGAGGGCCAGTGTGGCCAGTGTGCACTAGGTAAGTGCTTGGGGGTAAGAAGATGCTGGAAGGAATCCAGATGAAACAGGTGCTATCTGTCCTGTTGAGAAACTTGGACTTTATTCCAAGTGATTGAGTTGTAAACAATGGAGGAACCTGACTTTATTTAATTTTTAAAAGTCAATCTGCCCTGTCAGGAATGAATTGGAGAAGACAAAGAGGAGAGATCAGTTAGGAGGCTGTTATTATATCTCAGACAAGACCTTGGAGTCAGTGAGCAGCAGCTGAGGCAGAGACGTAAGTGGGTTCAAGGTGCTTTTGATACAGGGGCCAGGAAAGAGGATGGTATCAAGGGAATTGCTGAAAATGTCTGCTCTGAGCAACTGGGTAGACCAGATAAAGGTGCTATTTACCAAGATGGGAGGGACTAAGAGAAGCTTGAGAGGGATGAGTCTGAGAGTTCAGAATTGCACATAGTAGGTTTCTGAAATTCCTGTGAGTCATCCATGTGAATAAATACTTAGGTGTCAACTGCAAACAGTGGTATTTAAAAGCAAAGAAGTAGATAACAATCCATAAGAAACGAGAGCATAAGGTAAGAAGCAAAGAGAAGAGGAGAAAAGAACAAAAAACAGAGCATAGGATTGAGCACAAAGGAAATCCAATGCAGAATTCATCAGTATCTGGAAAAAGCACCGAGGAAGCAATGCTCAGAGATAGGAGACTTGATGTCACTGAAGTTGAGAGATAATAGTTCAAAAGGAGATGCTTGGTCAAACAATATGGAAGCCACTGACGACATTCACAAGGTCAGTTTTGATAAAGAAATGGAGGGAAGACTCTACTGGAGTGGATTCAGGAAGGACTGAGAGTAGGTGGAGACAGCTTGTAGCAGGAAGCAGAGGAACTGGGTAAGATAAGGCTGTCTTCTCACTGTGGACTCCTGGCCACGTCAGCTACAAACTTATCCCATCTCTCCTCCCAGGCTTCCATGGCAGCCTTCTTTTCACCCTGCAGCAGGGCACTGTACCTGCAGAAGAGGAACTCAGGTCAGCCTCAGGGAAGGCAGAGGGAACAGGGAGTATGAGGGGGTCCCAGATGCTTGAAAAACGCATACCCACCCCCAGTCTAACTGTGATGAAATAGTCAATGTTGGGAAAACCCACAGACGCCTTCCAGGCTTCTGCCTCAAACCTCTAGGAGAGGAAAATACAAGGTGTGGGGTGGGCGAGGGAGCAGGGGGTTTGGGAAGGACAGAGGACACTCACTTGATAGAGTTCATGGCCAGTTGCTTGAGTGTCCTCAGATCGGCTGTCATCCCCCCAATGCCCATGAAGGCTTCATAGAAGTCATAGGACAAGCCTTTGGCACCAAAGACAGCAGGGTCATCAGAGCTGACCACCATGGGGTAGCCAGTGGCCATCAGAACAGCTGCAGGGTGGTTTCTCAAGTCTGACACCAGTTTTAGAACCTGCCCAAAAGAAGGCAAAGGAAAAAGACAGACTTGTCATGAAAGAGCAAAGACTGTGAGCATTTCCAGCTCCTTCCTTCTACCCACCGCCATTCTGAATACTGGGATGACTTCTGGGCAAAGTCTTGACCCAACAAGAGTCCATCATCCTCATATTCTTCCTAATTTTCTCCAGCTTTCCGGATCACTCCAGATGTTCTCTCTGCTTCTCTCCTGGTTCCTGCTCAAAGCAGCTTTCCTGACACAGCAAGACAGGCAAGTGCACGGAGGACTCCACGCAGCAGACTCCACGCAGCAGCACCTCCACACACCCTTGTCCTTTCAGCTCTGTCCACGGTTTTGCCCAAAATCTGCCTCTTGAGGACCCTCACTGCTGCCTCATTATTATGCTTAGCAAGAGGCTGTTCTAAATAACTTAACCAAACGGGCCTTCTCTGGTGGCGCAGCCGTTGAGCACTGGCTTGCGAAGCTGCAGCGCAGGTTCGATCCCCGGCCACTGGCGAGGGTCCCACATGGCGCGCAGACCTCTCCTGCCGCCCGCTGCTCCCCTCAGCAGTGTATTTCTTGGTCAGTCTGCCTGCTCTGCTCCCCGCTCTGCCTCTGGTGAATTCTTTCACCCTCCTGCGCTTCTGACTGTACCCAGTGCTTGTATAAATTAAATAAATAAATCTTAAAAAAAAAAAGGGCAAATTTATAAAATAAATAAATAACCAATGAGCGTTACAGAGTGGAGGAGTATAGAAAATAAATGAGTTAAGGGGACAGAATCTAGGCAGGAAGGTTGGTAATCAGAGCAGAGATTGAGTTTGGGGAGAAGATAATATTGGATTAGCCCCACAAGTCATGCTTACCTGGTTGGAGATAGGACAGACTTCTATGGGAATGTCCTTCTTCCAGGTTTCAGCCCAGACTGCTGGGTGTTTACTCAAAGCAAATCCATGCCCAATCCTGGTAGAGTTCAGTATGAGGGCATCCAGAAGGTTTCTGTCTATGGAAGTGCCCTGCCAGTCTGGGGATAAAGGGTGGTGGTCTTCAATAGACTGAATCTGATTCACAGACCAGCCTTAGATAAAGGCCCCAGAATGACCAAGAAAAAGAGAAAAGAGCATTAACACAAATACACACACATTTTCCTTTTAATGGTACTAAAAGAGGTATGGCATGCTTTTATTTTGTGTGTGTATGTATGTATTTGCATATGTAAGTGCTGAGCAAATGGACACCTACATAGGATTTATAAACTGAAAGTGGATACTCAGCCAGGTAGTAACAAAACTTGGCTTCAAACTTGCAAATCTGACTTCATAGCCCACTTTCTTTCCACCCCCCTTTTTAAAAAAAGATTTATTTATTTATTTATGCATACAAGAACTGGGGTACAGGCCAGAGGTGCAGGGGGTGAGAGGATTCGCCAGAGACAGAGTGGGGAGCAGAACAGGTGGAGTGAATGAAATACACTGCTGAGGGGAGCAGTGGGCGAGACAGGAGAGGTCTGCTGCACCATGTGGGTAGTTCCCTGGCCGGGGATTGAACTTGTGCTGCAGTGATTGTAGACAGCTTCATAGTGCTTAGACTTAACCCCTTGCACCACCAGGGAGGCCCCCCACCTTTTTTTTTGGTTTGTTTCCGGAACTATTTTCTGTTCATGATCTTTACAACAGTGGTTGCAGACTCTGTTGATAGAATTATGCATACGTTCTTACATTTATTTACATCTTTACAGTACTCTTGGGACAATTTAGTCACAAGATCACAATGGCCAGCATGAACGGACAAAGGGGTGCAGAGCTGTGGCTGCCGACTCCCCAGCCACCCCAAGACATCTCCTTGCATCAAGGGTGAAAAGGACAGGGCCTGACTCCCCATTTTCCTTGCGACTAGGAGAGTCCTCTTGCTGGCCTGTGAGGGCCTAGGGGTGGGGGTGGGGGTGGTGCCAGGGCTTCCTTCCTAATTAAGGAGATGCCCTGGAGGAAAGTTCTCTCTTGCTTCACGGGATGTAGTCACATCTGAATGTGGCTTCACTGTCCGATGACCAAACAGGATGAGATCCTGGATGCAATGAGGACAGCGGAGTTGCTTATCATGTGAGCTCATCTGTGACCTTATTGTAAAGCTCAGTGGAAGTGCATACCCCACTCTTAGCAGCCAAGAGCCTCATAACAAAAGTACACGTAAAGTATTTCAATTTCACTTTCCTGTTAGGAACAAAACTCAAGAATTCCCATGACTAATGAGGGCATGTGTTTTAGGTGGATTTTCACTGATTTCCCCTGTATTATTTTCTTTTCAATAATTTACTTTTAAAAATAAGGATGCTGGTATTAAATACTCAAGTCCTGGCAAAATCCTCTCCTGGGATCACACATCTTGCAATTTGGTGCGATCCTAGGTTCTGGGTTTCATACTGTTGAATGATTTTTTTAAAAAAGATGTATTTATTTATGCATACAAGAGCCAGGGTACAGGCCAGAGGTGCGGGGGGTGAGAGGATCCACCAGAGACAGAGTGGGGAGCAGAACAGGCAGACTGACTGAAATACACTGCTGAGGGGAGCAGTGGGCGAGACAGGAGAGGTCTGCTGCGCCATGTGGGTTTCTCCCTGGTCGGCCGGGGATCGAACTCATGTTGCAGAGGCTGCAGATTGCTTCATAGTGCGGTGCTTAACCCCTTGTGCCACCAGGGAGGCCCCTGTTGAATGATTTTTCACAAGAAGTATGACTTTCCCAACTACACCACAAGCTTTTCAAGGTTACCACCTCCGAGTCCTCCCCCACAAACAGTTCTTTAAATCTCCTGGAACAGCTTTGATCTAAATTGGATCTAAATTGACTGGAAATGTCAGGAGAAAGAGATTAATGCACAAGATCCTTCCTCTGAGAGATGGTGCCATAAACCACGGTTTAAGCCTGGATGTGCAGTTCCAGCTGCCCACCCGTCTCTCCTTATCTCTTTGGTCTTCTGAGCATGCCAGGTGGGAGGCAACAATGGCTTTCCTTCAGGTCTAAGCTCCCAGATCTTCATTTTGATCCAAAATTGGTCTCCTTTTGCTTAGGATTTACACATTTTGAGGACCAGAATGCGGGAGGGGCTGAGAAATGACCAATGAGCCCAGGGATTGAGCTTTGGGAAAGAGACATAGCTGGGCTGATGGCACTCCAGAAATAATGGCAGCCAGGCTCGTGGGGCAGGGCAGGGTCTCCTCTTCAGCACTGGTGAGTGTGGACAGAGCCTCTCCAGGCCAGGTCTGACTCTAGGCCCTCTTTTGCCACTGCCTTGTGTGGTGTGAGACTTTGAATAGGTGAGGTCACCTCGCAATCACAGTTCACTCAAAAAATAGACCTCAGGGGCCTCCCTGGTGGCACAAGGGGTTAAGTCACAGCACTATGAAGGTATCTGCAGTCTCTGTAGCAGGAGTTTGATCCCCAGTCAGGGAGCTGACCCACATGGTACAGAAGATCTCATCCGCTGCTCCCCTCAGCAGGGCATTTCAGTAGATCCACCTGTTCTGCTCCCCGCTCTGTCTCTGGTGAATCCTCTCACCCCTGCACCTCTGGCCTGTACTCCAGTTCTTGTATGCATAAATAAATATTTTTTAAAAATAAAATAGAGACCATCAAAAAGGGCCCACAATCTGACTCCATTGCACTGTTGAGCCTTGGAGTCTCCATCTAGATAACGGGTATAAAAACACCTTCCTGGCAGGACTGGGGTGAGAATTAGAAATAACACATGTAAAGTGCCGATACTGTTATTATCATTCCTTGTCCAGAGGGCGGCTTCAGGATGAATTGAGATACCATGTACTAAACGGAAAAATGCCATCCAGCTTATCCATCCACAAGCATCATGCTGCCCCAGCGTGCCATCCGCACTGCCACTGTCCCTGCCAGTCTCCCCATGGCTCACCTGTCTCTCCAGCATGGAAAAAGTAAGGCAGTTTCACGCCACGGGAAACCGGAATCAACAAAGCCTCCTTGTAGGCGTAGAGGGAGTAGCCAGTGTCCTCGCGTCCCACCTGCAGGGCAGAGGGCGGGTCATGGCGGCGTCTGCCTGTCCACGCCTCCCCAGCTGATGGGCACCTGCAGCCTGGGCACCCCTTCTTTGTGCCCTGCCTCGACTACTGGAGACACAGTCTCTTAAGAACAACCAGTGGCACAAGTGGGAGTGAGTTAATGCCAGAAATACTCCCCCCTTATTCAGGGGTATACCCTGTATTCTTCCAGGCCCTTTGTCTTCTCACGTCACTTCCCAAGCCCCTAACTTTGGCCCTGAATTTCTCAAGGGGGAGAGAAGATGAGAGGAGGCAAGAGACAGAGAGATCCAGAGGCTGAGAGGGGGCAAGAGAGGCTCAGAGAGACAGAGAGAACAGGGATTGAGATGGACACAAGGGAGACTGAGAAAGGCAGAGGGTCAGACAGAGAGACCGGGACAGAGGGAAAGAGACAAAAAGGAAAAGAGAGCGCCTGAGGCCGAGCCCTGGACCAGCACGCGGGAGGAGACTGGAGCTGCAGCCTGGCCTCTCAGCGCCTGTGGCTCCCTCTGACGCGGTTCCTCAGAAGAGCGGCTCAGACAACAGCTGCACCAAAATCACGCTTTTCAAACTGAGCCACACGCACCCTCAGGGCTTTGGAGGTAGGGCCAGGAGTCAAGGAGTCTCTTTCAGAAGAGCAATTTTCACTTGGGGTCTGGGGAGGGGGGAGGGCAGCCACTTACAATGACACATTTTTATAACAAAAAATCAGGGACTTTCAAGGGAGTGGGAGGGAAAGTGGGCTTGAAGAAGCGAGGCTTGCGAGTGGACCCCTATGAACAACTACCTATCCCTCCTCCGACTCCGGCTTCCCACAGGCCTTGTTCTTAGTGTCCTTGCATGGACTGTTTCGGAAACCTGTGCTAGAAGCTCTCCTCCTCAGGCCCTTCGCCAGAGCTGCACACAGCAGGAAAAGGGGAGGGGAGGGGCCTCTGCTCCTTTTCTGAAGAGCAGCCCCAAGGATCCCAGGGGTCTGGTCAAAACAATTCTTGGGGACCCGCTTCTGTGGGCTTGGGCTGGTCTGAAGAACACGCTGAAGCACAGGCCTGCGCGCAGCTGCAGCCTCTGTGACAGGAAGCCAGGTGCCTCCTAACCAGCCAGGCCAGACGGACTCAGCGTCCTTCATGACGTGATCACCTTGTCACCTGGGATGTGTGGCCCGCTGTCAGGACCGGCCAGGGCTCTTTGGCAGGGGGTAAGTGATACCACCTGTGGGTGTGGCTGCAGAAGCAGATGGGGTGGCGAGGAAGGGGCCACTCCCATCTCTGACAGTGTGCCAGGCCCATCTCTGCTTCCAGACCTGCCCACCGTGAAGGGAACAACATGGGCTGGAAACAGGACAACAGCCGGGAGAGGGAACTAGCCCATCGCCGTTGTCCAGCCTCCCGAATCCCTGCCTTGTTCTGGAACTTCCCTCTTTAGCCACCTGGTCTTTGCAGCTCTCTCTTCTCTCCTGACTGTCATCCCCCACAGTTCCCGAGAAAGAGCCAGTGTGGAACTCTGCCGGGCCTGTGCTCAGCAGCCTGAGCCCCTGCAGGGGGGTTCAGTTGGGGCTGCCCAGCCCTTCCCGGAGATCTGCCCGCTGCGCCCCCCTCTGAATAGCTGTGCTCTGCAGAGCCCATTACCAGGTCAAACCCTGCCACTGTCCTGGGGAACATAGTTCGAAGCTCCAAGGCTGCTTGCACAGATTCCATGATGAAGGACACATTTTTGAATCTGCAAGAGAGACAGAGAGAAGCGTGGGAGACAGCCTGTCAGGCGGTGCCGCCGTATGCCCGAGCAGCCCAAGCACCTGCCTCGGGGCCTGTGGCTGGCCTAGTCCAGAGTTCCAGACAACCCTTCCCAAGCCCTCAGTGCCTAGGCCCTACCATGCTATTGAAAACCCTTTCAGTGGCTGCCTCTAGAGGGATTTCACTCAAATTCCTCTCTGTTAAGGACTCTGGCAGGCTCAGAGGGGTCCACCATCTCTGGGTGAGGGCAAGTCTTATCTGTCTGCACTTGGATGGAGTGAGTGGCCTTGTGTAAAAACTTGTCCTGCCTCCCTAAGAGGGCAGCTCCCAGAAGTGGGTGCAGTCTTGAGTTCAGAGACTCCTGGTCAGTCTCCGGCTGTGATCCTGTAGGGCAGACTTGCAACGGGACTCTTCTTCCCTGATAAAATCAGCCAGGGCCTGGCCCTCCAGAACCATCTCCCTAAGATGTTCCCCTTCTCTGAAGATTTCTTTTTTTCTTTTTCTTTTTTTTAAGAGGCACGTATTTTATTTATTTATTTGTTTGTTTGTTTATACAAGCACTGGGTACAGTCAGAAGCACGGGAGGGTGAGAGAATTCACCAGAGCCAGAGCGGGGAGCAGAGCAGGCAGAAGGACCGAAGTCCACTGCTGAGGGGAGCAGCGGGCGGCAGGAGAGGTCTGCGCACCATGTGGGACCCTCCTCTGGTGGCTGGGGAGTGGCCGGGGAGTGGCCGGGGAGTGGCCGGGAATCGAACCGGCGCCGCAGAGGCCATGGGCAGCTTCGCAACCCAGCACTCAACCGCTGCGCCACCGGGGAGGCCCTCCCCTTCTCTGAACCCTCTCAGTCTTATCTCCAGGACAGCAGCGAGGCAAGCAGGGAGCCACCAGAAGAAAAAGCCAGGCTCGCTCCATAGTAGGACCAAGGTCCCCACCCACAGCTGGCTCACCTGCCCCAGTCCTCAATCCCCAGGGCCCACATTAGTCCTGCCCACCCCCCACACCTGCCCACATCCTCTCTTGCAGGGCTCTCTCCTAGCAGGCAGCTCAGCCCACTCCCTGCTGCTGCCACTGGCCCCCAGGGGGCCTCTGGATTAGGATTCAGGGAGGAGGTAGCCTGAATCTCTGTCTGTCTGGCTAGCACTTGGGTGCAGGCCTCAGAAGGGGAGGGGATTCATGGGAAGCCTGACAGCCCCCCAGAGCTCAGCCCCAAGGTGGGCTGCCTGGCTGGTGTCACTCCCATCTGGGTGCTGAGCCTGCGTCTCCTGATCAGCCTCAGGCTGTGACCCAGGAGCAGAGAGCACTTTGGTAAAATCAGCAGGAAAGTAAAACTTTCTGGACTTGCTTGGGAGTCTGGAACCTCCACAACCCCAGGTCACACGTGCCGCGGTGGGGTCTCCCCACACAGATGCTCCCTGGCTCACCCAGGGCCCGGTCACCAGTCAAGTCTTCGCGCAGAGTCACACTGCATGCGGTGACACTATTAGGCAGAACCCCAGTGCAAATTGAAACAAAGAAATAGGTCAATTATCTGAACATCTGGGCAAAAACATACCCTCATCATGGGGTCACCTGGGCCAATGTGGGGCCATAGCCTAGAATTTTCTGGAAAATTGCCACAGTTCTTCATTTTAATCAGGTCGTAAAGATTTGAACTAGAAATGATTTCACAGGTAGATATTTGCACACACATATGTGCCAAGCCCATGATTCTTTGGCGTCGAGGGGTCTTGACCCTCGGCTCCCCTTCTCAAGCCTCTCTCCCTCATTCCCAGCCGTGGCGCTGCCTCAGCCCATTCACCCAGACTTGATTTTTAGCCCTGTTCTCACCTGTGCTCTGAATAAATGATTTTGATTCCAATAAACTCAGGATGCTTTTTCATAAACATGGAAGCCACCTCCTTGTAGGTCCTCACCGACCACTCTCGGTCATGGTACGTCCCGTTCAGTTCGTACACCTGGGAGCAAGCACAGTCCAACCACATCAGAGGGGAGGCAGCCAGCAACTCCACCCCCAGCCACCAGTCACCTCTGAAGACCGTGGACCAGTCTCATGGTTCAACACGTGTCTCTGACGCGACTCAGAACTCCTGGCCTGTCCGGGATCCAGGCTGGCATGTCTGGGTTCCTGTCCCTTGAACAGAGCCTGGCATAGGAGGTGCTGCAAGGTACTTGTGTACTGAGGGAAGAACCAAGGAACTGGGCACAACCAGAAAGAATGACCCAAGGGCTCCATCCCCCACTCTGCCATCCCCAGGCAGGGTGCCCCCTGAAGTGGCCACAGCCACTAGGGACCCCACGAGCGGCATGATGAGTGAGAAGAGCCAGGAGTAGACAACAGGTAAGACAGAGGGAAGAGGCCGTGGGGAAGAGCTGCATCATGGGGAAGGGGTGTGAAAAGGTCCCCTAGGAGCTGAGTACATGGGAGTAGGGCCTGGCAGGTCCCCTTCCCCCCCCCCGCTCTGTTGACCTGCCATGGGCCAGCTCACACCCCTGCACAGGGTGGTAGTATGCGTCGCAGTTCAGGGTCAGGCAAGATGTGGGGGTCTACAGATGGCAGCGTGGGGGTGTGGGGGTGGGAAGAAATCATCAGCAGGGCCAGTGTAAAGAATGGGGGTCCTTAGAATGAGCTGCCTGCCCTCAAGATATTTATTATTTAGTGGAGAGACAGGCCCTCCCCGTGTTTTTTTAAATATAAGGTGGGAAGAATTAAGTACTAAATGGAGGTGCCATCTAGGACCTCTGAGGAAGAAGGAGCTTGTTTTCACTGGGTGGGATCAGAGAAGGCTCCAGAGGGGGAATGTTCCTGAAACTGGGCCTTGAGAGGTGAGTAGCATGTGCTAAGCAGGAAATGGGGGCTGCTCTGCAAACATCCCGGGGGGGTTCCTTGTGACTGAAGGATTGTTAGTCCTGGCCTAGAGAATAGAAGCCCAAGCCGTTGGGCCAGAGGCCGGTGGCCAGGGCCAGAGACAAACAGAGCCCAGAGCTCACTCATTAGCATAAAGAGGGGCTGCTCTTGTCTTCCTGGCATCACAGGGGCTGTGACCTGTGATGTGATCTCACGGGGCCTCTTCTCCTTTCCCTCTGGTGACTCAACCTCACTTCACTCTTCACAGCCCAGGGCACCTCCCCGAACCCCCCACAGGCTACACCACTGCCCTCTGCAGCCTCCCACAGGACTCCTCCCCCAGGTCAGTTGAACAGACTCTGCTCTTCAATCTCTGTGGGTCTCACTCTGCTGCCTGGGTGGGGGTGTGGGGTGAGCAGCTGCTGTTACCTGCTCCTTCTCTTGGCACATAGGCCTTTGCACTGTGATTTCCTCTGCTGCTGTCCCATGAAGGCTGGCAGTTCACAGCACGCCCCTCAAGCTCACGCCAGCCCCCCAGGCTCACTCTGTGCAGGTAGAATTTCCCTGATTCCTTGCTGGGGGAGTGGGCATTCAGGTTTACTGAGTGTTTATGCTTCCAGGACTTTACGTTTATTGTTATTATTATAAATGTAAAGTGCAATCCCCACAGGAAGGGGAGGTACCAGTTTCCCGGCCCCTCGGAAGGGAGAGTGGAGCTAAGCAGCTTGCGGTAGCTAAAAAGTACTTGGGAGAGACGGCTGAAGGGAGGCGAAGAAGACTTGGAGGAGGCACAAGGAGCAGAGAGACACGAGGAAGCCGTGCTTGCTTCTCTGCCTTGGACTTGAACCAGGGATGTGGGGGACACAGAAGGAGACACTTGAAAGACCCGTTGTGGGGGCTGACAATGGCATCTTGACTTGTATTTAGATTTTCCTCTTTTCCTTCCAGACTTGCCTGGTCCCTTCTGCCAGAAGGTGCCTTAGATTTGTGGCAAGATTTCAGGCCTCAGTAGCCCTGCTTTGGGCCAACCCTGTTTGGTTGGGCAGTTACCCATGAGGGGATGGGTAAATTTAATTGCAAATTATTTTCACTATATTTTTTCTCTCTTCACTATTGCACACTGATTGTGTTAAAGTTCTTTTCTATTGAAGATCTTATGCATTAAGAGTATGTTTTGTCTCCGTGCAGCTGATGGCAGAATCCATTTAGAGCAGGCAGGTTTGGGGTGTCTTGGGGTGCCCCTCATTCTGCCCGCTAACATTATTGCTATTATTTAATGAAGGGGATCAGAATACACCATTTTGCCCTGGGATTATTTTGGGCTGAAGGCAATTAAGAAAGAGCAAAGACAAACAGAGCTGTTTGTGTTCCTCCTCCCTCCTAAAAATAGCAGATACCTTTCCGTTCTTGACAGTGTTCTCCCTTCCAAATCCTGTTCCAGAAGGACAACCTCTATCACTGCAGACAGAAAGTCAGCACTAACTAAACAGAACCCTTATCTTCTCTGAGTCTCCCCATATATTTACCATCCTCTAATCACCACTCCTTGAAGCCCAAATTCCTTTTCCATTGTCTTGTCACTCCCCTGCAATTTATTACCACTGGTTAAAATGGTATAAGAGCACCTGGTCTACCCACTTTGGGGTTGTCTGTTCTTTTCTATAAAGGCCTCCAAACACATCAAAATTAAACTTTTTTTTTTTTTTTTTTAAGATTTATTTATTTATTTATTTATAAAAGCACTGGGTACAGTCAGAAGCGCGGGAGGGTGAGAGAATTCACCAGAGCCAGAGCAGGGAGCAGAGCAGGCAGAAGGACCGAAGCACACTGCTGAGGGGAGCAGCGGGCGGCAGGAGAGGTCTGTGCGCCATGTGGGACCCTCCTCCGGTGGCCGGGGAGCAGCCAGGGATCGAACCGGTGCAGCAGAGGCTGCGGGCAGCTTCGCAACCCAGCGCTCAACTACTACGCCACCGGGGAGGCCCCAAAATTAAACTTTTAACATCAAACAAAATTTGTATGCATTTTTTTTCCCGCTAATATGATTTTTTTCAATTTAATACAAGGGCCCCAAGAACAGGACCTTAAAAGATAAAAAAAAAGGTTACTTTTTTCCTCTCCTACATTACCAAGGGTCTTTTTTTCTTTAATGATTTATGTTATTTATTTATGCATACAAGAGCTGGGGTATAGGCCAGAGGTGTGGGGGTGAGAGGATTCACCAGAGACAGAGTAGGGAGCAGAACTGGTGGATCTACTGAAATACACTGCTGAGGGGAGCGGCAGGGGAGACAGGAGAGGTTTGCTGCACCATGTGGGTAACTCCCTGGCCGGGAATCGAACTCATGCTAGAGGAGCTGCATATTGCTTCATAGTGCTGAGATTTAACCCCTTGCGCCACCAGGAAGGCCCCCCCAAGGGTTTTTTTTTTAAAGAGGCCCTTCCTGCCAACCATCAAAGCTTCAGCAAACCTCTAGGTACTCTTAGAATCTTCACATCTTTCATGCTGAGGAGGCCAATATGCTATTCCCCAGCAATTCTCAATGTGTGGTCTAGGAACCTTTGGGGTCCCGAGATTTTTTTAGGCATTCTGCAGAGTCAAAATTTTCCTCATAAAAATTTTAAGAACTTCTTTGTCTTTTTCACTTCTCATTCTCTCATGAACATGTACAGAAATTTCCAGAAGCTGCCTCACGTGTGAAATTTCACTCTGAGATCATCAATTGTGTGCTTGTTCAGTCTTGTGTTTTAAAATCTTCTATTTTAATTTCTGATACAGTATATATTATATAGAATATAATAGGTACATTCTACATAAACAAAAACTCATCCAGAAATTGTTACTTAAAGTCACACTGCACCACCCAGCTGGTCTGCAGCCGAGAGGAAGGGAATTCTGCCCTTAGCCTGCTCTGTGTGACTGAGTCACCTGCCATTCACACCAAGTGGTTCTAAATCCCTGGGGATAGGACACACGTAGTTCTATTTCCTCCCCTCCCTTCCTATATCACCGAGTAGGAGTTCCATAGTATTAATTTAAAAAGAGTGCTGTCGGGCCTCCCCTGTGGCGCAGCGGTTGAGTGCTGGGTTGTGAAGCTGCCCGCAGCCTCTGCGGCGCCGGTTCGATCCCCGGCTGCTTCCCGGCCACCGGAGGAGGGTCCCACATGGCGTGCAGACCTCTCCTGCCGCCCGCTGCTCCCCTCAGCAGTGTACTTCGGTCCTTCTGCCTGCTCTGCTCCCTGCTCTGGCTCTGGTGAATTCTCTCACTCTCCCACGCTTCTGACTGTATCCAGTGCTTGCATAAATAAATAAAAATAAATCTTTAAAAAAAAAAAAAAAAAAAAAAAAAAAAATAAAAAGAGTGCTGTCTACTTGGAGTTTAAAAAGTACTAAGCCCCAGGCAGCTTGTCTGGGGGAATGAGTGAATAGATGAATGTTGGAGGGGTAGCTGATGGAGCAATATTAGCAGAACAGAAGGGAGACAAAAGAAAGAATCTTTTAAAAAAAAAATCAACAAATTATAATTCTGCCTGAAAGATCCCAGGCAAATTAATTATGCAGATATGCAAATGATACAACCAAAAGCCTGATGGGGGCTTGCATATGGCAGTGGTTCCAAGTCATCAATTCTATCATTCCAGTACTTATCAAGGAAGAAGCTGGGACCCCTGCCTCCCAGGGTTCCAATCCCACTGCTGGTTCCCATAGCATAGAGAGCCATAAAGATGGAATCTGACGCCTGGGGCCGCAGATGCTGAAGAGGCATTCAGAGAATTTCCTGGTCTCCTGGTGCCCCAGTAAATCACTACCCAGGCAGCCCATGCCCAGTGTGCCTGCAGCTGTGGCCTCAGGCAAAGAAACTGTAGGCTGGATGGAAGCTCCTTGGACAGGATCTGAATGCTCAAGGGTAGTTTCCGCTTCAAAGAATAGAAGACCTTTTGTGGGGGAGAGACCTGCAACTCCTTAGCCTTCCGATAAGTATGGTTAGAATATTGCTATGATGCCAGGCATTGGAGGAAAGGCCTCAGTTGTTGGGAGATTTCTGGTCACTACCTGCATTCAGACTTCCAGTGCAGATACAATCTGTCCCATATCAATCATACCTCAAGGTGC